GCGGCCAGCCCCAAGGGGTCAGACGAAAGCCTTAGCGACGTGCCCTAGGGCCCAAGCGTGCATGAGGTGGCTCCGAGACGACCCTCAAGATCCCCAAGAAGCATCACCCCCCAGAATTAGCCCACTCTAGCACGCACACCCAAACAGCCCACAACGTGGTTCTGAGACCCTCGAAATCAAGACTAATCGCAATGAGCCTGCTCTAATCTGTACTGGTGCCTGCCAATAGCGCAACCGGCATGAGACATGCCTCGCTGAGTACTGCGGCAACGGTATGGCAGGGCGTCTCGCCGCATCTGTCGCATGCGCTCGGCCTCCTCCTCCTCCCCATCATCCTCTTCGCCCCTCCTCCTCCTCCTCCTCCTCCTCCTCCTCCTCCTCCTCCCTCGCCTCCTTTTCCGGCTCCTCCTCCCCCTCCCCCCACCCCCTTCTCCAACGGGTGGCTGTTTATGTTCGGGCCCGCGGTGTTGAGAGAAGTGCTCACAACAGAAATCGGTGGCGCACAACATCTCCCACTCGTTTGACCGATGGCGCCCGAAGTTCTTCAGAGAAAGCGACCAGGGGCAATTGCGCAGGCCCGCGCGGGCCCCGAGATGGCCGCAAGCTGGCCCCAACAAAACAGTGGACGGCCTGAAACTCGCATCGGAAATTTTCGAATGACCCCCCCAAATGCCCATTCTCTTCCAATCCCCTCGTCACGTGATCGCTTACACTCATCATTTAGACGTTATCCGCTGCATCATGTCTGGATGTGCTGGCATTGTTACGCGAGACCCCTAGCAGCTGTTCTGTCATGCAGTATGCTGCAACGCACTTCGACCTTGTTCAAGGCAGGCCACAGCTGGCAACAGTGCGCAGCGCCCCGCCCAGACGGCGAGGGCAACCAGGCGGCGCAATGGCCGCCACAAAGAGCTTGTTCAAAGGCAGACGTCAGGCTCGTTGTCCTCGCCAGGGCGACGCGGCCTTTCGCAGAGCAGCAGGTCCGCGGCACGGGGGCCCATGTCCTGAAACGCTGTCCGAGCAGCCGACCGCACCTCCTTGGAAATCCAGTTGCACGTCACGTGCGTCTGCTGGCTCCCGAAGTCAGCGTGCCTCTGCAGCCAGGCGACCAAGAAGCCGATGGGCCCCCCCTCCAGCGGCCTGACTCCTTCTTTGCTTGCTCTGCGCTTTCTGCGCTTCTCATGTCCTGGGCTCCTGCGCTCTGCCATGAGGTCATTCTTCTTTGCATTGTAGACGATCCTGCCGCCCGCCACCTCGATGAAGCATATCGCTGGCTCCATTGGCGCGCCGCCAGCAGGCGGCGGCGCTGGCGGAGGCGGCGGCGGCGCGGCTGCGCCAGAAGATGCAGAAGGCTCGCCGTCGCCAAGATGGTCGCCATCAGAATCGCAGGGTCGATGATGCCATGGAGGTCGGCGGAGTCTCTAGAAGCATCCGAAGACGAACTGGAAGAGGATGAAGGCGCTTCGCCAGCTGGTTCCACGCCATTGCCATCGAACGTCGCGACAAGTGGCTCACCGTGAACGTCGACCACGTCACCTGGGAAACCACGGTCGCCGACCAGGCTGGCAGAAGGTGGCACCACCCCGCAAGCGCACCTGAACTATAAACAGGGCAGCGGGTGCCAATCGCAGGCACCAGGGAGAGCCACAAACCGGTGCCCCAGAGGATTTGCGCATGTCCAGCGGCCTTGCGGGGGGCCCATAAAGGACACTAAATCATGCAAGCTGTTTGTGGGGGGTGCGTTTGCGAAGCAACGCCACTCTGCTGAGCCCAACGGCGGCCCTGGCTCGCCGTCCTCGGCGTCCATGCCGCCTGCGCTGCCGCCACCTGCATCACCAACGCTACCAGCAACGGCGTCACCTCCAGGGAGTTCGCGTCCATGGTCGGGCTGTTCGTCGCCATCGTCCTCGTCTGACTTGTGGCCCTTGTCGCTGTCCTGCTTGACGTCTTCGATCGGCTCGATGGCGTGCCACCCAGACTTCACGTCTGCGTCCTTCTTGGGATGCTTGATTGGCTTCTGCCTCCACTTCGCCCACGGCGGCTTCCAGATGACCCTGCACGTCGGGGCGCCTGGCTTCTCGTCATCTTCCAGCAAGTGAACGTCGACGCAGTTCGGCACGAAAGTTCCGATCGGGCTGACCCTCACGTCCATGTGGTACGCGCACACAGACCACCGAAGATCCCTGTCGAAGTCTTTGAACGCCTGCCACGGCGTCGCGAACTGGACAGTGGTCTCTAATCGATGGATGCTCGCCCCGATGCTCGGATGCATCGAGCCCGTCGGGCCGCGTAAGGTCTGAAAGCACGACCGCCATGGCGATGAGCTGTGGTAGCCGATGTGCAGCCACATGCCGTCGACGATGCAGCCGCTCGACAAGGCCGTTCGTTGCGACATCGATGTCCTCATCGTCGTCAGTAGGATGGCGTTGCGCGAAGACGTGCACACAGATGTAGCCGTGGGCCAAGTTCTCTGTTCTGATGCGCCCGTTTGGGCACGCCAGCTTCACAGCAGCATCGAGGTGATCTACGAACTTCTGGACCTCTAGCCCAGCGCCCTCACACACGCACATGCCTGCAAACGTACAAGCTGAGATGCCATCGCAATCGTTCTCGTCCCACTCAGGGCGTGGCTGGTGGTCGATCGCGTCGTGAACTTCGTCCCAGTACTTCGTCAGGTTGGCGAAGATGTCGGCGATGATGGATCAATGCACCGAAAGCCCTCTGGCAACCCGCTCTAAGACGCCCACGGGCTCCCATTCGAAGAGCTGGAAACCCTGGCGCGGAGGAAAAACGGGGAGGAACTCGTCGAGTCTCGCCTTGATCTCCGACTCGTGGGACAAGCACTTCTCCCTCGCCGCCGCGCCATCCTCCGAACACCACTTCGGCACGACGTCGTTGATCAAGGCTTTGTCGGAGGCGCGCCAAGCCCGCTCAGCGCGCTCAAGATGCCGACAGTCTGTCATCTCCGTGAGGTGCTTGGGGTTCGACGAGGCGATGCCGATGATGCCGTTGTAGGTGGCCACTGCGATGTCGCCCTGAATCCCGCCAGCCGAGTTCAGCAACGCAGCGCGCTTGCTCTCTGACAGGTCCTGAACTCGACGCGCAAGGTCAGCCTTCCTAGCCCGCGCCTCGAGTAAGCGCGAGCTCCCTCCGAACGGATTCTTATTGCCAGCACGTGCTGCTCTGGTGGCGGCCTGTCCCACTTCCATGAGCACGGCCTTCTCCTGGGCGGACAACGCCGCGTGCGCCCGCCCGAGCCCCGCGAAGTCGGGAGAGCCCGTCCTGCCCAGCGTCTGTTGTCAAACGAAGGCCCGTCAAGCGCCTCCGAAGCCGCGGTGGCGCCTCCTGGCTGCAGCCTTCTTGCTGGCCGCCTGCTTCACCGTGGTCTTGATCACGTGACGCCCAGGCCCGCTGCGCAGCCGCTGCCGCCGCGTGCGGAACCGCTGGCATGTCCTCAGTGCTGACAGGCGCCTGATGTGAATCGGGTGGGTCTGCAAGCTCAGCGCGGCGAGGCTCCTTCGGATGGCCGCGTGGCTGGACTCGATGCTGCAAGTCTCACGCCTGATGCTGAGGGCTGTGTGCATCAGCTCAGCGTTGAGGTCTGGGTTGAGCAAGCCTTGATCGGTCTTTGCGTACTTTTCGACCAACGCCTTGCTCCACTCGTCCTTCATGTTGTCGCAGTCGTTCTCGATGTCGGCCGCGCTCCCCCCCCGTCCAGCAGCGTGAACATCTTGAAGGGGTGCATGGAGTGAACGACGGTGAGCTCGCGGCATAGGCAGCCGATCTCGCTTAGCATCATGAGCGCCAGCGTGCGAAGGTCACGCGTCCTGAGCCCAGGCGTGATGATGTCCCACGGCCCCTCGGTCAGGTTGAGGGCCCTCAGGTCCCGGAGGAACTCGCCTTCGAACACCTGCTTGCACGCAGCGACCACTGGAAGCAGCTTGTCGGTGCAGTCACCGCACCTTCCCGCCGCAGCCTGGACCTTGAGGTACTCCATCAGGTCGTCGTGCTTGACGCCGGCGTGGTCCAAGTACTTGGACATGATCTTCCTGAGCGGCTCCAGGGCCCTCCTGATCACCGTGAGCCTCCCACCGTCCGTGAACTGGTAGGTCTTCGAAGGCCGAGGGGGGTGCAAGTAGAAACGTGCCAGCGGCCACCCCTTCGCATGAGCCCCACAAGGGCTCTCTCTAGCCCTGGACTCGGAGGGAACGGATGGGGTTTGCGTTCGACTGGGGAGGGCGGCCAGCCCGAACACCTACTGTGACTTCTAGTTTCGGATGCAGCCGCCACCATCATACCATCATCATGTTCGTCATCATGTCCGTCGTCGCCGTCGCTCCTCACGCCATCCTTACTACCCCCCCCATCCCACTCCTCCAGTCCGACGCTGGCCTAACCTCCCTTCATTCTCCTCCTCGCGCTGCCCCCCCCCCTAACCCATGTAGGGCATTGCCCGCGGGGGAGGGGGGTGCTCAAGGCTCAACTAGACGATGGCTCGGTCGCAACTGGTACGGTTTTAACATCAAATGCACTCCCCCCCCAAAGCCAGCAAACCCTCACGCGCGACCACTTGAGGAAGACGCGGGTCAGCAAGCCGTGGCACGACTCCAAGACGCCCATCCAATCGACGCTGTGGTCGAAGCCCGTCCACCTCGAACTCGGCCAAACCCCGTCTGTTGCCACGAAGAGCGTCGTGAACTTCGACGCGCAATCGGCACGGGACAGGCGGCAGCCGTCGCAAAAGTGCTCCGCACAGCCCCTGGGGTACAACTCATGGCGCACCCACCCTCTACCCCCCTCGCTACCGCGACCCAGGTGCCAAAACCCCTCGCCCGAACACCCGAGGGCACGGTCGAGCCTGGAAGCCGTCCAAAACTACAAATGGAACCCCCGACATCCAGAATGGTGACTGCATGCTATGAGCAGGCCGCACGTTTTACACATCAGAGGTTGAGGGGTGCTATGGGGGTGGGGGCGCCACGAGCTTGTGAACCCAAGGCCTCTCGGTCCAGTCCCGGGTCGCCAGCGAGAGGATGACGACGCGACGAAGTCGCCGATGGGCCGACGTCTCCGACAAGAAGAGGTCCAAGCACTTGGTGTTGCGGGCGACGTCCGCAGGCGAAGGCCACATGTCGCAGCGGTACTGAAGCGTGTCCTGCAGCTCCTGTCGGAGCGCGGCCCTGAACGAGCGCATGCCGTCCTGCCAGCGCAGCGCCTTCGCCGCGTGCACCATGCAGCTGGTGTCGGCCTTCACGTGGTGGAACGCGCACGTGTGCCACTTGAAGACCACGTGCACCTCGCACTTTGACCTTCAAGGTGCTGCTCCGATCCGCCTCCTCACGGGCGAAGTTGCGCTCCATCTTGGTGATCCCGCTCGCGCCGTCCGTGCAAACCAGCCGCTGTCGTCGGCCGGACTGCTGCAGCACGTCGTCCTCTATCGGCGGACGGCTGGCCTTGAGCGCGTCGTAGAGCACCTCGCCTGTGGTCCTGCTCAAGGACTGGATGGGCGTCTCCAGCGGCACGCGCACGCCGACGTACCCGACGTCGGGGATGTGGTACAGCATCGAGAAGACCCGCTCAGTGTTCGAGATCTTGGCGACGTGCGAGCTCGAGCAGCTGGCGCTGATCGGCGCCAGCCTCAGCGGCCCGTCGGCGGGCACGATGGCCGCTGGCATGGCTGAGTCCACTGCTGCTGGCGCCGCCTTCTCGGTGTCCGTGAGCCGCATGTGCATCGGCGTCTCGTCATACCTGACGCTTTCTGACCACGTCAGTGCTCGGCCACCTCGCTCCAAGATGGATCGCGTCAACTGGCGAATCATCTTGCACACGTCCCGATTCTGCACCGACACGCACGCGGCGGCAACAGCGCGCAGGATGCCATCAGCGCGGCGGTGGCCAACGCCGAGGTTGCTGCACTCCTGGTGGAATGGCAGCGTCATGCGCTTCTCATCCAGGAAGTACTACACCACACCACGCTGCGCCGCTGCGACGAAGTCCCGCTCCGCGCGCGAATTCGCCTCCGCGATCGCGCACGTCTGCTCCACGAGCTGCGCAAGCTCCACTCGAGCCTCGGCCCGCGTGGGCGCCCGCACTGGCGCGCCGGCCACAGCTGCCAAGGCCACGTCCGCGTCGGCATGCGCGACTGGGCCTGCGATGGCATCGGCCTCCGCGTCGAGCTGCTCCTCCTCGTCGCTGGGCCCGAAGAGCGCCCAGTCGTCCTCGTCGACGACCGCGTCGTGGGCGGCAGCCAGCGCCGCCTCCACGGCTGGCAGCGGCTGCTCACGCCCACCAGCAGCGACGCGTAGACCCCACGCATCTCGGAGCCGCTTCCGAAGATGCCCGAGCGGGTGCCACACCGCCTCGGACGCCGCAACCCCGCTGCAGCCTCTTCCACTCCTCCTCCTCCTTCCCTCACCTCCCTCTCCCCCCTTCACCTTATCCTCCCCTCGCCTCCTCCTCCTCCTATCCCTCCTCGCCTCATCCTACCTTGCATCCCCATCCTCCTCCTCACCTTAGCCGTGAAGGCGTCATCCCCATTCTCCTCCTCCCCCTCCCCTCAATCCATCCTCTTATTCATCTCCAGGGGCCTTGCGCCGCGCAGCCACGCTGCCAGCAGGCGCCAGTTCCGCGGACGTCAGCGCGTGGCCGAACACGTCCGCAGGGCCAGCGCCGTCGGCGGGAGCCACGGCAACCTCCGCCTGAAGGAGTAGGATGAGGGGAGGGGGGGAAGTGGAGGAGGGAAGGTGGTGGGAGAACGCCTCGGCGCCCTCCATGGCGCTCTCCGCCGACGCCGCGGCGCTGGCCGCTAGCGCGCCCCAGCCGTCGGGCGGGCTGGCGGCGGCCGCCTCGGCGGCTGCGGCGGCGGCAGCCCAGCCCGAGGCGCCGCCATCGGCGGCCTCGGCCGCGGCCTCCGCCACGGAGGCCCGCCCTGCCCCATCCCCGCTCATGGCGAGGGGGCGGGGCTGGGAGCCCGAATGGCTGGGGAGCACGGGCGGAGGAGGGGGGAATACGTTGCCCTCTTCGTACGTGGCGCAAGCGAGGTGGTGCAGCACGCGAGGCCATCTACGCGGCGGTAGCTATGAGGTGCAACCATAGCGCATCGCACGATGAGAACATCATCCAAAGGCAACTATGTGGTGCAACCGACGGTGCGCAATCTAAGTGGGGTAAACTATGTGGCCAACACGTGGGGCATGAACTACGAACTGCAATCTACATCGCGTCACATATGCGGTGCGATCCGCCGCCCCAGCGGGGCCTGTCAGGCTTGAGGACTACATGCGATTCCCAGGATTCTCTGGCGTCCTAGAAACCTGAAGGGGGAAGTACGCAACCTCAAGGCCCGCTGGCAACATTAGAGAAGTAAAGGCATGTGTAACGAACAATCAGAGACGATGCGCGAACAATATGAAGACTCATGCACGAACGACCGACAAACCATTCGACTAGTTGTAGCATGCCAACAATTTGTCGGGAGCTACTTTTTATTTTTTGAAGGTACTTTGGGGGCTACTTTGGGAGGTACTTGTTGGGCTCGGTGAGCACTTTTATTCCTATTCCGAAACCTACTTTGGCATGTACTTTGGCCTTTCTGGGGGACCTGTGTCTGTAGCAGGCATTGCCTTTCATAAGGCCATTGTGGCCCAAGGCGCGCGGTGCCGGCTTTCAGGGCCGAACGCCGACGGGGGCCCAGAATTGGCAGATATCCAACGACCCGCTGTCCGCGATCGTTCAAGGCTGAGCGACTCATGCGGCGTCGGTCGGAAGCCAGCGCCAGAGCCCAGAGATGTGACGGTGACGTCGCGAGAAGTTGCAACAGCTTGCGAAACCACCACCGTCTCTCTGCGCAGGTCCTCTGGCCGGATAAATCGGCGAGTGTCCCTGGGGGTCCGTTGGTCCAAACGCCCGGTAGGAAAAAGCGGTAGCACCCCGGGTCCCCAGACCCCCGGCGTCGTGACTTTCTCGCAGCGTTGGGCCCCAGAGGTCTCGACCCGTTCTCCGGGACGGGTTCTTCATCCGTCGTCCCCTTGTCACGGTCCCGGGGCCCGGCGAGGGCCCCCGAAGAGTTCGACAGGCAACAACAACAATTCCTGGTTGGGTTTCTGTCACGCCGCGAGGGGGTCCGGGATGTCAGGGTGCCGTGCCTGCAGGCGCTGTGGGCAGGGCGCGCGGCGCCCCCGAGGCACAGCCGAAGAAGAGATGCGGCGGGGGCGTTCGCTGCGAAGTGTGCCCAGGCGGCTGCAAATCCTGGAGGATCCCTTAGTCGGACACTGGAGCATATACATTACCAGTGGCGGGCGGTTTTTCAATCCCAGGATCCCGTATACACCAGCTTCCGCTTTCCTGTGCGAGATTCAGCGTGAGGCCAGACAACGGCGTCGGTGTATAGAGTTTGGTTCCCTACTTATCTGATGAGGGCGGCGGTGGTATCCATGCCCGGTCCACGGATTGCAGCTCACAGGCTTCCAGACCCTGGATTCCTTATCTTGGGGCTCCGAGTCCAATACCCCCACCGTAGCTTTGGGCTTCTGAAGTCCAGCTGCGCGGAAGTGCGGACCGCCAAGCTGACAGGACTGCGAAGGATGCACTCAGTGCTGCTCCTGCGCCTGCTTGAACAGGCATGTCCGTAGCGCGTGACTCAGGCCATTGCCCCCCCGCCCTGGACCCGCCCCCCCGACGTTCCTATTTTTGATGTTGAGAGGCCTCGGCCCGCTGCCCAGAGCCAGCGTCCCGTCCCGAGTTGCTCTGCCGACGGCCCTGGGGCCTGGCGAGGGCCCCAGAGGCGGCGTCCTTTCCTGGGGGGCTGCGCACTCGGGGAAGGGGGCCTCTGCGGGGTCGTGGGGCTCGGCTCGTCCTCCCCGGTCGCTCCTCGTGCGTCTGGCTGGATGCGGCTCGCGCGCAGGCGCCCTGTTCCAAGGGTCGGTGTCTGGCGCTCCCGCCCCCCGCACCTTTTTTGTTTGTGCCTGCTGCAATCTGCTTCCGTTCGGGGGGGTTGCGCCTGGCCGGTGCTCCTGGCGACTGGCCCTGGGTCACCACGGACCTGGCCAGGCTGGCCTGCAGCTCCATGAGGCACCCCACAAGAGGCGTATGTTGCCAGACACAGGAGACGCCGCCTTGGACATGGAGGCAAAACAGTTCCTTCCCGACTCCATCCCCTAGGCACGCACGGGGCAGCGAACAAGCAGAACGAAGCTAGCAACGAACCCGCCATCATGATTTTTTCCTGACCCGAGGGGGCGTGGCGGACCAACAGTTTGGACAGTCATGTTCGTACTATGAGAACCCATGTCAAGAACACACCCTGCTTGCCTCCATGTTGGGTTCCGATGGTTCTGCTATGGACAGCGTGACGCTCCCACACCACAAAAATCAACGGACGTCCTGGGGTCTCAGGATCGGGTTTCTTGTGGCAGGTTTCTTGTGGTCGAGCCCCTGCTGTACCCGAGGGGGCGCGTCGGACCAAACGTTTGCACAGCCGGGGCGCGGCGGACCAAACGTTTGCACAGCCTTGTCCGTATCAGGAGGGGAAAAACACACTGACACAATTAACTGTCGACTCCCAGGAAAACATAGGACAAATATGGGAAGTGGGGGGAAGACGACCCCCAGAACACATGGTAAAATATGGGGAATCCTCTTATTATAGTGGTGCCCATTTATTTGTGTGCCCCAGGGCCCCTTGACCGCAGCCTTTGGCTCAGGCCACTGGCCCCGGAGGCGCCCCGCCGCGCAGGCGATGGCCACGGCCCTCCGAGAGCCGCCCGCCCCGCCGCGCGGCGCCCCGGCGCGGGCGGCCGCCTCGGCGCCGGGCGCCCGCCGCCGCGGGCGGCCGCTGGCCGCCGCCTCCCCGGCCGGCCCGCTGCTCCTGGCGGCGGCCGCCGCCGCGCTGGCGCTCTGGGCGCGGTGGCCGCCCTGGGCGCCGGCGGCGGCCCTCGGCGGGCCGCCTTGGGCGCCGGCGGCCGCGTGGCCGCCGCTCGGCGGCGGGGGGCCGCGGGCCGCGCCGGGGGGCGGCCCTCCGCGCCAGCCCGCCGGCGCGGTGGGGCTGCCCGCCGCCGTGGTGCGGCCGCCGGCGGACGGGCCGGGGCTGCTGGCGGCGAGGCCGAAGAGGCGGGGGCCGGCGATCACACCGCGTGGTGAGTCAGCTGGGGTTCCCCCGGGGTTGTCGGACGCTTTCGACGGCTCCCGCAGTCTTCGTACCTCGGGCTGGGCATCTGCACATCAGCGTATTTTAAGTCGATGGCCCAGAAACCAAGCGTGCAGTGTGGTGAGTCGGTGGGGGGTCGGGGCGACCGCACTGTTTTGGGGCTCCAGGGTCCCGAAACCGTGCAGGACGGACCGCGCGGTGAGGCCGTTGGGTATTCCGAGTTTGCCACGCGGTCCGTCACCTCACGTTTCTGGGACCCCCGAGGCGGAGGCTCCAGCAGACAGGCAGGAAGGCCGAGCTCGTTGCGCGCCTGCGCGGGGCTGCTGCTCAGGAGGGCGACGGCTTGGACACCTTGAGGGTTGACGAGCTGAAGGTGAGGCTAAAGAGGCTGGGGCTCCGGCAGACAGGCAGGAAGGCCGAGCTCGTCGCGCGCTTGCGCGGGGCTGCTGCTGCTGCTGTTGAGGAGGTGGATGAGGTGAAGGAGGAGGAGGAGGAGGTGGAGGAGGAGGAAGGCGACGGCTTGGACACCTTGAGGGTTGACGAGCTGAAGGTGAGGCTAAAGAGGCTGGGGCTCCAGCAGGCTGGCATGAAGGCCGAGCTCGTCGCGCGCCTGCGCGGGGCGCTTGCCGCGGCGGCCGAGCAGGAGAAGGACGAGGGCGAGGGCGCGAAGGAGCAGTTGAATGAGGAGGAGAAGGAGGAGGAGGAGGAGGTGCCGCGTACTGGCGGCGGCTCCGGCTGGCTGAAGAAGGGGGCGGACGTGGACGTCAAGCACAACGGGCGGTGGTACACCAGCAGGGTCCTGGACATCGAGAGCCGTGGTCGGGGTGGCCATCCTGAATGGTCCGGGGTGGGGCGCTCCCACCTGAATCGGCGCTGGGGGGCTGAGAAAAGATGGGGGCGCTAAGATTGGTTATACCTATGCATTTTTCATTTTTCATGATTCGGAAGATCTTTGATTTTTTTGGGGGCCAAGATTATTTCATTTCTAACTGTTTTATCCTGGGCCTCTTCCTGGCCACAAGGGGGCCAGGAACAATTAGAAACGAGCACAATTATGAATGAGCACGATTAGAAATGAACGACGTGCATCCAAACCTAGCTTATGAGTGTGTCACAACTGGCATGAACGGCTCAGGGGAGACAGAGACCTTGGCCACGTGGGCTCCAGCCACTTAGCGGAGTTTCTCCCCTACGCGACTTTTTTCCATGTGTAGCCCTCTTAGAAGCCAGGTTCGGTCAGACAGAACCCACCTTAGTACACATTCATCACTCTCCTATCCCCTTGGCACCCCCCGCGCCGATCCAAGCAGACCCACTCGCGTCGTGAAGAAACCACGACGGACTTTCTCCTTCTATTTGGCTTGTCGATTCTGGGGGCCATCGCCAGGCCCTGGGGCCGTCAAACAGCGACTCATGATGAAAAGCAGGTCATGGGAATGGGTCGAGACCTCTGGCGTCCTTCAGAGCCGCCGGATCTCAGAGATTCTTGATTTATCTTTACAAGATTTTATCATCGTCCTGGCTACGATTAAGGGTCTCTCTGGTCTCCAGGGGCTCCCATCCCAGATGGGGTCGGAGTAGGTGGGCTCGGAAGTTTGCGCCGCATCTCCAACACATCTGCGATGCGTTTCGATGTGGAGCCCGATTTTCTGTACGCCGACGGCGCCGATGCATCGCCGATGCACCGGCGATGCGCCGTCTCCGACCCCATCTACTCCGACCCCATCCGGGAGGCCTCTGCGGCTGCCCTTGGGGCCCGCCTCTTGGCTTTCGGGCGTGGCCACGCGAGCACGGGCGCAGAGGGGTGGCGAGCACGTGACGGTGCTCTACTATGACGGTGAGGACGAGGAGGAGGGCGTGGAGGTCGCGGCGCGCGTGCGCGCGCTCCGGCCCACCTGGGTAGAGAAGGGCATGGCGGTGGAGGTCGACTCCGAGGGTGTCTTCCACGAGTGCACGGTGGAGGAGGTCAGCAGCGACTGGAAGTACTGCGCCGTGAAGTACACGGACGGCGGCGAGGTCGAGGAGGACGTCGACATCCGCGGCCGGTTGCGGAGACCGCGGCCCCCCTGGATCGGCGCGGGCATGAGAGTTGAGGTCGAGTACGAGGGGGATTACTACGCTGGCAAGGTGACGAAGGTCAGCAGGGACAAGTCGACATGCTCCGTGGCGTACGACGCGGAGGACGAGGAGGACGAGGACGACATCGACGTGAGGACGCGGGTACGCCCGGAACGGGTGAAGTTGGACTCGCTCAAGAAGGGAGACAAGATCGTAGGCAGGGTCACCAAAGTGCTCGACTTCGGCGCCTTTGTAGACATCGGCGCCGTAAAAGAAGGCCTGCTCCACGTCTCCGTGCTCAGGAGCAGGTTGGACGAGTCCCCAGCGGACGTTGTCCAGATTGGCGAGGAGATCACCGTGTACGTGGACAGAGTCTCTGATGACCCTGTGTATGGGGTCAAAAGAGTAAGTCTCGTCTTGGAAAAACCCCAAGTCTACGATGCGAATCGTCCGCGGTATTGCCCCGATGTCTCACCGTGGATTGGCGTGGACAGACGCCAGTGGCTGACAGGCAAGGTGGTGAACATTGAGCAGGGTCTTGGACTTTTTGTGGAGGTGGAACATCCCACGGAGGGCAAGGTCATCAAAGGCATGGTCCACATCACTAAGATTGCCAACGAGTTTGTAGAAGACATTTTCGACTACGCAGACTTTGGCGACGAGGTCAAGGTCAGGGTCGACTACGTGGATGCGAGATTGCAGAGGTTGGGCCTGACGATGTTGGAGTGAGAGGCCCGCCCACAGGACTTCACACGATGTGGCCTCCATCGCAGTGCGAATCGTCACCAGGCAAACGGGAATCTCTGCACGAGCCGACCTGCGATGGGCAGTTCGAGGCAATGAACCATGGCTCGGAAGAGGAAATGAGCGTGTGACGCATGCGAATGCACTCCCCGAGGTCCAAGCGGCCCAATCACGGAGTAGTGAGAAGCCCAGGAGCACACAAGCTTGTGCGGGCATTGGCCTGGGCCTCTTGTCATGGCGCCTGGCCCCTAATAGTCAAAAAGGTGAGAGATCGAAACAGACATCTGACCGACAGCGTGTCCGAAATCGTGACCGAAGACGTGGTGCGACCGAATTTATGACCCAAGCCGAAAGCCGTATTGGCTTCGAACCAGAACTTCTGTCACACCCTGGCACGGTCGGAGCATTTCGGGCGCCAGGCTCGGTCGCAAGTTTCGGTCACTACACCCCCCTTGACAGAGACGATCGGCCACGCGCAGAAGGGGAAGGGGGGCATGGGGAGGGGTGAAGGCTTTTAGAACTTCAGCTTCTTGGAAGGCGCGGTCCTTCTCTACAAGTGTACGGCCGGCGCCTTCCAAGAAACAGGTTCCTCCTAAGAAGCCGTCTCTCCCACCCCTTTGTCGCAGGCCTAGAAGTTGACACCAACACCAATATCGGCGGTGTACCTCCACCGAGGGAAGAAGATCCCGATCTCGGTGATGGTGGTAATGTTCTGGCCTGTAAGGTGACCGAACTATTATCACAAACACCGAAATCGAGGCTCATCTTCCCCCTGTGGAGGCAGCCCCCTGTGTTGGTGTTGGTGCCAATTTCCAGGCCTCCAACTTTGCGCGCCAGCAAGACGGAGCTGCGCGACTCTGGCCCTCTGGCGGGCTCGTCCCCCGCTCCGCGGCCCGCCTGCTGGCAACGATGCCGGGGCCTCATTGGCGCTGGCGCTCGGCTGTGGCGCCAGAGGCGCCCGAGCGGTGGGGGTGCCGGAGGCAAAGGCGTCGTCGTCGGAGGAGGAGGACCAGTGCAAACCCAAGGCTCATCAACGATGTTGCAATAACCCCCCCCCCCTCCAAGGTCTCTCTTCATAGGCCCCTGCACGGCTCCATTTCGACTGAAGGACGTGCCCCGTTGGAAAACAGTTGTTTGAAAATCCATAACTGCGTCAGACGCCATTCTTGGGACATCAGCGCCGCAAGTCGCCGTGTTACTGTTGCGTCTCGACGATTTTGAATCGTGCCAGAGCACCATTCCTGGGATTGCAACACCGCGAATCAGCGTGACTGTTGCGCCCTGACATTCCGACATCATGCCAAGACACCATCTTTGGGACGTTAACCTTGGGTATGCAGTTGGTGCAACATCTTAAGACGAATGTGCGCAAAGGCCAGAGCCACATGTTGAAAATGCACCGCCCTCCATCAGTGAAGCTCTTGCATTTTTTTTTGGACGAGTGTGCGCGGCGCCACGGCGAGATCCGCATTTTGAAAGCGGGCCGCCATCCATCCGTGAAGCTCTCGCTAACTTTTAAAACGAATGTGCGCGGCGCGCAGGCGAGAACCACATTTTGAAAACGGGCCTGCTTCCATCCGTGAAACGCTTGCAAGCGTTTTTACGACGAACGTGCGCCGCACTACAGCGAGAACCATCTATCTTGAAAACGGCCCGTCCTCCACCCATGACACTCTTTCAAATTTTGAGCTTCAGGATTTCAAATGGTGAGGGAGTCTCTGGCTAAACGCCCAGCCCGCCCGCCCCTTCGACCAGCCTCGGGGTGCGACAAGGATAAGTTACTGATTAGGGAAAGGGATGGAGGAGGAGAGGAAAAGAGGAGGAATCAGGGAGAAGGCAGGAGACAGGAGGGAGAAGGATTAGTGAGGAGTGAGGAAGGAGGAAGGAGGAAGGAGGAGGAGGAAGAGGAGGAGGAGGAGGAGGAGGAGGAGGAGGAGGAGGAGAGATTGGCTCAAGCCGTTGCCTGGGGCCTTCGCCTTCCCTGGGGTTGGGGCTCAAGGGGTCTAGGGAACCGCACGACCCTCGATCAGAAGCCCTGGCCCAGGGTGAGGGCCATACCTTCACGAAGATTTCGACGGCCTCGCAGTTTTTCCGAAGAGACGCGCGATGGCAGGCGGCTGGCATGACGCGTCTGTCTGGAAGTGTATGCACTGCGGGTGCGGCAAGACACCCATCAATGAGCAATGGTGCAAGCACTGCGAGCGGCACTGGAAGACAGGCCAGAACAAGAAGCCCAAGGGCAAGGGTCGAGACCTTGGTACTCCGCCTGGGCTTGGTGGTCGCGCTCCTCAGCACGGTCCGCCCATCCAACCAGGCCTCGTGCAGGCGTGCTCAGACCCCGTGCCAGAGCTCACGGTGCCAGAGCTGCAGCAGCTGGTGCTGCTCGGCGAGAAGAGCAACAACACCCAGATGGTCGAGTACTACCAACAGGTGCTGGCCATCAGGGACAAGCAGCACGTGGCGCCGCAGGTCAGAGCTGATCAGGCACACAAGTGCATCAAGCAGCTGGAGAAGGACCTCAGCGCTGAGTCCGCCCAGTTGGAGAAGCTACAGAAGCAGGTCACTGAGCAGGAGGCAAAGGTCACCAAGCTCCTGGACCAGATCGAGAAGCAGGAGGCCATCTACACGGAGGCGATCAAGGAGCTGCACGCCGTGGTCGTGCCGCCCGTGGACGCCACGCAGGCGCAGCCGACCCTCAGCTTGGAGGCCATGCTGGAGGGGAAGCAGGAGTGGACTCTATCGTGCGGAGAGGACCTGTTCGGCCTGGCTGAGTTCGTGGACGTCGAGGAGACTGACAAGGAGGAGGCGCGCAAGCGTGAGGTTCAGCTCAAGGAGCAGTTCCAAACGCTCGCGAAGGCGCTGTTTGGAGACCTCAAGAAGAAGGCTGAGCAGTACAAGAAGGAGCATGAGGAGCTCAAGACCCGCTTGCAGTCGAAGGGGCGCCGCCAGGAGCCTGCGACGCCTGAGGCGGCAGGGTCGGCCCCGCCAACGCAGCCAGGCGCAGGCGCGGCGGCCGCCGAGGGCAGCCCACAGCCTGGCGCGGCCGAGGCGCCAGCGCAGCCTGGCGCTGCGCCTTCGGCGAAGGCAGCGGGCAAGAGCACGGCGGAGGAGCTTCGAGCCCACGCTAGGCGCCTGGCGGGCACCCTCGGGAAGGGCCCCGGCGCTGGCAAGGGAGGTGCGGAGGCTCCTGCGTCAACTCCGCCGTGTGTTTAGCGCGGGTGGCGAGTCGCCGCCCAAGCGTACCAGTCGAAGCAGTTCCTCTTCATCTACGTGGGAGATCACCACGGTGAATACATCAGGGTGGTCAGGCGCTATCGCAGCCTTGGCGGACGAGAATTTCAAGAGTTCACCGGCGATTTGTATTCAGGAGTGCAGGGTCGTCAAGACCAACGTTTCACTGTCTGAGACGGCCGACGAAGGTTGGAAGCTGCGCATCAGTCCTGCTGTCCAGACGGACCTGGGGGGCGTCTCAGCAGGAGTAGCAGTAGGAGTTCGTCAGCACATAGGCGTCAGTGAAGTGGTGGGTGGAGCACGGCACCTTCACCATGCGCGTTCAACGATTGTATGGGTCAATGGTCATGTGCGTGGTGGATTCTATATGTGTTCTATGTACTTTCTTGACGGAGAAGGGGTCCAAGGAGCTAAGGGTAAACAATTGCTCAACCAGCTGGGTGAGTTTCTCTATAGTTCCCAGAGGCCTTTCGTGATAGCAGCTGACTGGAACGACGTGAAGATGCTTGTCTTGGGAAAACTCAGAGCTGCGGTAGTCAATTCGGAGAAGCCGACCTGTCGTGTAGGCAAGGTGCGGCGTGAACTTGACTATTTTGTCGTTTCGCACGATCTTGTTGGGGAAGTTCGGGCGTGCGCCAGGCGAGAGGATTCCAGTAACAGGACCCATTATCCAGTTTCACTTAGGCTAGGTACGACGGCACATCAGAGGACGCAGAAGGTGCTGAAGGTGCCGAAGCCGTTTCCGCTAGACAAGCCCTCAGGTCCACCACCTCCGCCACAGGACTGGCCCCATTTCGAGGGCAAGTTTGAACGGCTGCGACGACAGCCATCATGCGCAGAGTTATCTTCACTCTTTGGGGAGATGTGTGACTCCATGGAGCGGGAGCTGTGCGACGTGTTAGGCATCGAGGCTACTGAGCGTGCCGGGGTACTGCGGTCGGGGCACAAAGTTCCAGGTGGTCGAGAAGCCAGTTTTGCAGCAGCACGTTTCGGGTCCCTTTCCACGGTGCAGCCAGGAGTCCAGGATGCTCAGGAGATATCAGGTTTGGCTGGAGGAGCTGTCTTATCTTCATGGGAAGGAGCATTCTTGGGACTCGGCGGGAGTTCAGGATCTTGTTCGGAAGCTCGAGGCCCCAGTGCAGGTAATCCACAGTATTCCAGAGTGGGTGAGTTTTAAGCAAAGTTTTCAGTTGCGCGCCGCCGTCTCCCACGAGGAGCTGCAGGGCGCCCTGGGGGCCGTTCGGGCCATTGCAGATGCTGAAGAGTCGAGCGCCAAGGCGAAGAAGACTCAGCAGTGGAGGCAATGGGTGGATCAAAATCTTAAACAAGGAGGAGGAGGAGTATTTCGTTGGACGAAGGAACCGCTGGGGTGGGCCCCTGACGGGGCTGGCCTGGGCGGGGCCCCAGCGGGGCCAGTCGACGCCCTGGAGGCCCTCTTGGAAGAATGGAAGCATATATGGCGTGAAGGTGCACCATCCAGGTTAAGAGCCCAGGACCTCAACGTGCCACTCGGGGAGCCCCCTCCTGCGCCCACGGTATCAGAGGTTCGAGAGGCTCTTCAGAAGTTCAGCAAGAACACGGCGATCGGGATAGACGGCTGGAATCCAGGGAACTTGAGATAATTGAGTGACCAAGCTCTGGCAGTTTTCGCTGAGTTCTTATCGTTTGTGGAGACGTATCTTATGATTCCAGAGCAGTGTCATGCGGCGCCCATCGCTTTTTTGAAGAAGCCTGATGGCGGGTACCGCCCGATT